AGCTTTCCTGCTTATTACCCATGCTCCTAGCATTGGTGTACATGCACCTCAACTCCTTCCCACAGCTTCCTTTCTTTGGAGTCCCCAGCCTCTTCCTTCCTCCCATCTTCCCTGATACCAGCCCTCTCTTGGCAAGAGTCCTGTCAAGTCCCTGCAGTACCTCTAAAACCCTAGTACCAAAGCCCTGATCCTCTCCCCTCACGTGTCCATTGCAGACAAGTTTCTGGGGTGCCTGAACCTCCCCCCGCCCAGCTCAGTTTAAAGTCTTCCAGACAAAGCTCGCTAGAGCATTTCCAAAGAACCTTTTCCCTATCCTTGTGAGGTGCAACTTGTCCCTTGCCAGAAGTCCATTGGCAAGAAACCAGGTGCCATGGTCGAGGAACCCGAAGCATTCCTTCTGGCAGCACACCCTAACCAAGTCTTTCACCTCGGCGACCCTCCTATCGCTGCCTGGCCCAAATCCCTGGAGTGGTAAGATAGATGAGAAGGCCACTTTGGCCTTTAGGTCCCTGAGTTTGTTCCCATGGCCTCGAAGTCCCTGGTGATCCCGCCCATACCCTGCCTGGCTATGTCATTTGTCCCCACATGGATCACCAGAAGTGTCTGGTGACCGCTGGAGCAAACAAGATGCTCCACTCTATCCTTCACATGCCGGATGTGTGTGCCTGGCAGGCAACAGACCTCTCTCACCTCATGGTCGGGGCAGCACACCACTGTCTCAGTGCCCCTCAGCAGGGAGCCCCCAGCAACAATCACCCACTGCCTTCTCTTCCCGGTGATGGTAGTTGGCCACGCCCTGGCCCTCGCCTCTCCTACGGCGGCCCCCTTGCTGCATGTGGTCCCAGGCTGGGGTGCCCGCCCCTGCCTCCCCCCACCTCCCCTCACTGTGAACCCCAAATTATACTTTTTGTCAGTCAAAATGCCAAACATTTAAAACTGGAAGAGCATAGGTCTAAGCTAGGCAAAGCTTTAATGTCAGTTCTGATACAGGGATAGTTATGCATAATAATTTAAATATTTGATCATTAATTTTTAATCCCATGTAATCATTAAAATTTCTAGTAATTGTTTTAATTACAATTCTTTTGATTAACTCATATTTAAGTTTAATAATATTTTCATGTTTTACTTAGTATATGCCCTATTCTTTTTACTAGATCCTTCAAAAGCAAAACCTGATCATCTTCATACAGGTTAATTTAATTTATTCCCAATTGTTACGCCTATAATATTATTCTTATTCCTTATGCTATAAGCTGATGGTTCCATGAGCGTAGCAAATATTAAAGGAGACAAGGGCTCTCCCTGTCCAATCCCTTGGTGAAATGCCAATATTTCCGATTCTAATTCATTAGTCAGTACTTTCGCGATTGCTCCTTCCGATTGGCTTTTTAGAGTTCTAATAAATCCCTTGCCCAAATTCATTTTCCCCCTACGTTAAAACAAATAGTGCCATTCCACACGATCCAAAGCATGAAGCAA